GGTGCGGGGCGGGCGGGGACGGGCCGAGCCCGATCGGTGCAGCGCCGCGTCCTCCCGCCGGGGAGCCGGTGTGAGGGGCGGAGGGATTTCTTAATAACGAGTTTTCTCTCTACAGGTTTTATTGCGATTACTGCGACACGTACCTCACCCATGACTCGGTAAGTACTAAATCTGCGTTGATTCCTCGAGTGCTTTAAAATAAAACCTCTATAGGCTAAAGCCAGGCTGCCTGAGCTGCCACTGCTCGTCTGACTTATTTTCCTCTCTTACTTCTTTGCGAAAAAAGAGAGGAGAACGGGAGGAGTTTGAGTGTCGCTGACACAGGCAGACAGGGCAGCCGGGGCTCTTGGCTGGCTTAGGAGGAGGCGGCTGGGGGGGTGTTAGGGCAGCCTCTTTTACCTAAATCTGAGTCTCAGCAGTTACGTATAAAGGTTTGCACATCACCCATCCTCTGGGCGCAGAAACCAACCTGTTTGATACTGCTGCATTGTGTATGTTTAAAATTCTACAACGGTTCCCAGTAAGCCTTGGTTTTACGTGAGCTTATTATGGGAGTTTTGGGTTTGTGCGCTCTTTCTCAGCCCTCCGTGAGGAAAACCCACTGCAGTGGCCGAAAACACAAAGAGAATGTGAAAGACTACTATCAAAAATGGATGGAGGAACAAGCTCAGAGCCTGATTGATAAAACAAGTAAGGTTAATCCTTCTGTGACCCGGGATTGCTCTCCCGTTGCTTCCCTTGTCTTTCCTTTTGCTGCTTTTCTTCCCTTCTTCCCTGTCTATTCTTCCTCACTTCCCTGGTGGGTCTTTGCTCTGTGAATCACGAGCAAAAACTTCACTTAAAATCTGAATCTTGAACTGGTCAGAGTAGGGGCTTCCACCTCCGAGACAGGGCTCTGCTGAGGGGTCGGTGCAAGGCATTTACTGCTTTACGGTGGCCGAGAGGGTTGTAGGTCCCACCGCCTTCAGCACTGCTAGTGACATCGTACAAGGTCGCACAACACACTTTTGCTTTTTGGCAGTAGCACATTTATGTAAAGAGCATGAATCAGAAATGCAAAAAATAGGAAAATGGACATTAAAGCGTATTGGATTTTTTAATATTTTTTTAGTGCTCTAAGAAATAAGAAATATTGATTTCTTTTTTTTCCTCTCGCTATTAAAGGCTTGAATACAGTGAAGTGTTTCCTCTGTCAGTTTATAGGGTTCTTTTCTTCTCACTTAGTTCTTTTCTTTGTCAGAAGAAATACAAGTGTCAGATTAACTTAGTGGCAACTTTCATTAGCTCATCGAATATCTCAAGTTGGAAGTGACACATGAGGATCATCGAGTCCAACTCCCTGCTCCTCGCAGGACTGCCTAAAACTAAACCATATGACAAAGAGTGTTGTCCAGACGCTCCCTGAGCTCTGGACAGACTTGGGGCTGTGAGCGCTGCCCTGGGGAGCCTGTTCCAGGGACCAACCACCCTCTCAGTAAAGAACCTTTTCCTCATGTCCAGTCTGAACTTCCCCTGATGCAGCTTCGTTCCATTTCTTCGTGTCCATTTTCCTCATGATGCTTCCAACTTTCACATCTTTTGCCTTCCTAGTCGATTCCAGTCTTTTGAATTTCTTCCCTTTCCCATCAGATATTTTTCACGCTTTTTGTCACCTACCTCAGTCATTGCCTTATTACCATTTTCAAGGTCGCATGTCTT